TAACGCTACAGCCCAGGTTTGATGACAATATGTTAAGTCGTTTGCCAGTTATAAGAAGACACAACTCATAGGGACGATATATGATCCTCGGGCACTAGCCGGGCTTTTTTTCGGTCCCGGCTAGTGAAAGCGGGTTTTCTCGGGGCACTCCTTGGGCCCACTGATCCCTACCAGGCCCTGAAAAACCTCTAATATATATATTAGAGCCAAATGTCTGTCACGCTCTGTATCTCCTGAACAGTTAATCATAAAACAAAATTATATATCAAATGCTTCTTTGGAAGCATTACAGGAAAATTATTAGTTTGTGGAAATTCCTAAAATTTCATATCGATATCAACATCAATTTGTCAGTTTTCGTATGTGCTTATTATAAACAAAAATACATAAAAAAGGGAAACGTATTTGAGTATATATTTTTTGTTCCTCGGTTTATATATTTATATTTTCACGTCGGTATTATATACATGCACGATTTTATTGCACCTTGTCAAATAAATTCAATTTGAATTTAATTGAATATCTCCCCTATTACACTTTTTATAGAAATGACAACTGTCAAAAAGCTGTCACATTGGTAACGGTCTTTTCTTGCGCTACGAAATGACAAGGATCGGTGGCATCCAGCGGAAAAAAATCCCCTCGGCGACTTAGAGAACCTGAGTGCTCTATTGTGCTCGATGCGCCCATTGCATCGAGGCCAAAATTATTTTACCGACAATACATTGCAGTCAGTTTGCTTGAAAACAAACGCAATACAATTTTCGTTATAGAAATAACACATGGAATGACAAAAGACGGTTGTAAACGGCCCATCAAACAATCATATTGCGTTAATGCTTTGATCTAAAGGATTGCGTTGACTGCACATTTTATATTTACTCATCACTATTTTCAGGAAAACTACTATTGAATTGTTTCAATGGGCATCTGTTGGTTTTATTATGAATTATTTCCTCACTTTCTTTAATGTATAAGATTATAATTCCTGCTTATATAGTAAATTTATTTTTATGGAATCAAGACAAAGTAACTTAGTAACGGGGATTTTTAGTTACTGGATGTTTAGCAGAATGTGTGAATATGAAACTATTCAAGAACTTACCTCGCGACTGATGTTGTTTGAATTTAATAAACATCCAGATGTCTTTAGCCGGGTTTATGTCCTTTAATAATAAGTAATAATAATAAATACATGAAAGGCTGCTGACAATTGGCTGAACAGTGGTTTTGAGTACATAATTAAAGGCTACTAATATATCTTAGATATGACTTCTTTGTTAATATTAATTCGTTGAGTTAAGCTGACCGAACATTCTCGAAGTATTGCCAGCAAGTGATGAAATTACTGCGAAATTTATCTTTCCCGATAGGTTTAATCCATTCTTCCTGCCTAACTGTTTTTGTCGAATCTGATATAGACATCCAGCCACGATATGTTTGTTTTTTCTGAGTAGCTTCGTTTGAGTTTGCTTGCTGATTACAAGTATTTTTTGTTTTTACAAGTTACATTTTTTACATGAAGGAAGAAAGGTACTACACAGGTACAACATTTTTGATCGTTAGTGCGATCAATCTCACGTTCATTGATTTTAACGTTAAAAAAAGTTTTGTATTTAAAAAATATTCTTCCTTACTGTAAAAGCTGTAACAGGTAAAAAATAAGTAAATAAAATACGTGTCTTTTATGAATCATTGTCGAGCTAATGATGATATAAACTGGATTAAAGTTTATGTTTTATTCGTTTTCGAGACATCAGACGTTATTACATTGAATAATCTTAGTGCTTTTAGACACTAGATTAAAGTTTTGTTTTACAGTAAAATTTTGAGATATCCAGACATTATCATATTTCTCAAAGCAAGTAATTATATACGTTGGCGTATTTCAATTTTAATCGTGACTGAGAAGTATTTTTGTAATTTACTTCAATCGCCTATTAAACTAACAGTGAAAAACCGAGTCGATTCGATTTCTATTATTACATACGATGATGAACAACATCCACAGTCTCAATATAAACTAAAAAGGTTAAATGAAATGAACTGATATTTTTTTCATTGTCTCAGGAGACAGATTTTTTTTTCTTTCGTGTATTGCAAGAAACTTATTTCTGGTCTTCATAATTATGTGAATAGAACCGCTTTGAGGTTAAGCTTAAAACAGTAAAACTGTAATACAGTTCGCTATACACAAATAAAACTAGCTTAATAACTACTACACAAAGTTGAATACGTTATATTAAAACGATTTTGTACTGACTGCACCAAGATTGTTTCATTTCATGAATAAGTTACAAAGGCGTAGGTATGCATTTTCTAGAATCTCCTTTTTTTTAAAAAAACAACTTTAAATATTAATCAATGTCAGCATAAATACAAATCTATTACAGAGTGGATGGTCCGGTTAGCGTGCATAGACTTTGAATTACAAAGTAAACTTTAATACAGTTTCTATTATGACTAGTTTGTTTGTAATTAAGCACAAAGCTACACAATGGGCTATCTGTGCTCTGCCCACCACGGGTATCGAAACCTGGAGTCTAGCGTTGTAAGTCCGCAGACATACCGCTGTGCCACTGGGGGCATATTATGACTATCTCGACAATGATTCATAAAAGCTGCGTATTTTATTTACTTATTTTTTTTACAAGTTACAGCTTTTACCGTAAGGAAGAATATGTATATATATATGTTTTTCAAATACAAAACCTTTCTTTACCGTTAAAAGTGACCAGAACTACATTATAATTAACACTGTTTGGCGTTACGTAAGTATACGTGTAATGCCATCGCAGATTTGTTAACTTTCGAGAAGGGTATTTAAGAGCACTTTCTATCGTAAGATATTCATCCACTCAGATCATAAAGATTTGTTCATTCGGAAATTTAGAATTTTCAATCAGGGATATCCCTTGTACTTAATGGCATTGGAAAATAAAGGAATATAGATCAGCAAGATGTCGTAATCTTTCCGACAAAAAAAGAGCAGTGTCTTATACCAGCAAAAATCCATGAACCCAAAGGTCAGTGGCAAAAGTTGTCCACAAATCGCAAGCAACAGTATGTAACATAATCAAGAAGGATCTCCGTTTGGAAATGTTTGTTTGTTTGTTTGTAGTTAAGCACAAAGCTACACAATGGGCTATCTGTGCTCTGCCCACTAGGGGTATCGAAAACCGGTTTCTAGCGGTATAAGTCCGCAGACATTCCGCTGTGCCACTGGGAGGCTTTGTTTGGAAAAGCGACACAAATCGCGTGTACACAGCTTGCTTCCATCATAAATAAGGCTTCCAGTCATATCTTCAGTTCAAACATCTCATACCTCAAGCAGCTGGAGAAGAAGACGGGTATTTATGCTATTACATACGAAAATATACGTTCAAGTCGAAGGACAAAATCGCTATGTATTTCTGTGTGATAGGACTTTTAAAATGGGCGCTGGGAAACTGCCGTCCTTGCACACTAGATTGATAACGGAACCCCTCAGAGAGATGTGGTGTGCTTTGTACATGACAGCTTTATTGAACCTTTTGCAGTAGAAACCACACTACCCGGCTACTGTCAAATTATACGTTCGCTAGGCAGAGCATGATTATACGTGTCGACATGGACTGTAACGACGTGGTGAGGCTCCAAAACCGTTATAATATAACGTACTCAACTCTCCGTAATCTCTATGTCTGGTTAATTGATTGGGTTGAGTCACGGTGTTTAGAATATGAACTTAAATGTTAATCATAAGAAGGGCAATTCTGTTAAATTCTTAATAAGAATTTTATGAAAGTTTAAAATCTGTTAAATCAATATAAAATTCTGCTGATGTTAGAAACAGGAGGTTTCGTGAATTGATAAACGGTTTCTAACACGTTACTAGATCGTCCATTTTCGTTTTATTGCAGATGAAGGTGATAGCAGATAAATAATGTTACTGTATGTGAGCTGAACTCACGTAGAACTTACGTAGATAATTAAGTAACACTTGTAAGAAAAATGTGTATAGAGAGAATAAACGGATTAGATTTCGTCAGATGTCAAGATCAGCTGACATTCACACTGGGTTTTAAAATTGGCAACTTCTCAAAATATACGAAAGATAAATAGTTTTAGTCGAATTCTAGGAGTTGTAAACTTAGTATAAACCGAAATAACTAATGAACTAACTGTACAAATGCAATGAGAAAACATGAAGCTGGTTTGTGCTTTCCACTTGAGTCTTTCTCGATCTTATTAATCTATCAAAGAAAATGCTGTATGATTACCATAAGAAATAATTTAACATGAGCCATGTTTTGAACAGCAGTTCCAAATTCGATTTATTAAAAAAATCTAACAAGAATGTAATTTTAAGATAATCCGAATTTTTGACGCATCAGTAAAGAGCGTAGCTTTGACGTATCGGTTCTCAAGACACGATAGGGGGCGCAATAAGAACCCACGCGACATGTGGTAGAATATAGCCATGAAGTTTACATTCGCGCTACCAGCCCTGCTGCGTCCTCAACGCCTCTGAAGACTTGGGCTTACTTGTAAGTATATAAAGAGAGGTTTTCATGCAGCTTCCTGACTGTAAAAAGGAGGGCATGCAGAGGAAACACAGACTCGCTGATAGATTCAAAGTGATTGGAACAGTGGAGTGGAAAGTAACTTGCGACCTTCAACACTAGAAAAGAGACTTGGATATCGCCAGCAAGGAAATCGTTATAGTTTTCTGATCTGAGATTAAAATTTTCTTTTGGCGTTGAGATGGGACGACTATTTTCATATTTGAACATTGTTACGTGCTATTTACTTCTGATCTTCGGAACAGTAGTTCAAGAACATATTGGAGGTAGGAAAAATTTGCATGTTTATATCTAATATTATTTTAGAATTGTTTGTTTCTAATTAAGCACAAAGCTACACAATGGACTATCTGTGCTCTGCTCACCACGGGTATCGAAATCCGGTTTCTAGCGTTGCAAGTCCGCAGATATATCGCTTTGCCAATGGGGGGGGGGGACTTATTTTAGAAACTGTTAGTTTAATTCTTTGATTGAATCAAAGGAAAGAGGAGAGTTGTTTTAACCATAGCCCCACCACTCCTAAACAGGATTTATATATACTTTAAACGTAGAAGAGAGGGCTGTTTTAAAAGTAAATTCATATGAACTTTGATAATTAGTCAACAATATTTTGTTATCTTAATTATAAAATTCAAACATTACATATTGGAATGAAAATGATTAATTCATTTAAAAATATTCTTAGAATGTGATTTAACCATCCAAAACTATTCAAGACGTGAAATGCTTGAATAGTACTAGGAATTCGAGGGTCTATGGTTCACGTCCCGTTGCCGCAAAAGAAACATCGCGTTTTGCACTTTTGAGGCCACGATTGCGTTATATTTTAAGAGTGATGGTGAAATATCTTATTCGATGAGAGTAGCCGAAGAGATGGCGGTGAGTGCTCTTGACTAGTTGCCTTTTTTGCTAGTTTATCTAGTCTTTCAGGTCAAAATGAGGGATGTGAAGTTTTGTGTGAATATCCGAAAAAAGCAGACAAACATACATTCTGCGTCTGAATATATTTCACACTGTTCCAGTACTTTTCCTCTTAATTTCTAGATTTAGTCCAGGAATTGTTAGATAGTTAAATACGTTACGTGCTTCACATATATATTATCGATAATAAAGCCTTTTGAAAAACATTCTGCGTTGGACTGAATTTAAATACATTATTACTCACAGTTTTTGCTGAGGTTTTTGATTGTACTAGAAGCTTATATATTTTCTATACTTTGAATTATTAAGAACTAAAACATTTCCTTATCCATGTAGTGCGTTAGGTTTGCTTCTTTTATATAACGCCTGCCTTGCGTTAAATTTTGAGGTGATGATTATTTTATTAACAAAACGAAAGCGAAGTTGTAAAAATTCGCGTAAATTCACAGTTCTTGAATTATGAAAACATAGCGGTTGTAATAGAAGTTTGTAAATTTTGGTTCCTTTACAGTCTCTAATATAATATATATCACTTTTCGCCTGGCATGGTTATGTGGTTAGGACGCTTGACTCGCAATCTGAGGTTCGGATCCCCGTCCACCAAATATGCTCGCACTTTCAGCCGTGGGGGCGATATAATGTGACGCTTAATCCCAATATTCGTTGGTAAAAGAGTAGCACAAGAATAGGCGGTGGGTGGTTATGAGTAGCTGCCTTCCCTCTAGTCTTTCAATGCTAAATTAGGGACACTTAGCGCAGATAGCTCTCGTGTAGCTTGACGGGAAATTCACAACAACAAACATCACTTTTCGAAAACAATCCCTGTCTCAAACATGGCGTGATAGAGTCAACTTTATAAAGAGCCAAATGAGACACTTATTAATATATTTTCTTGTTTCCATTATGAATATCATTATAAAGAAACATACCAGCTAACGCAAAGACGTAAACGAGTGTGATTTGTATTTCCAGTGGGACAGTTATTGCTTTGCGTAAAGAGTACTCGCTGTGTACGGTATAGGCTGTTTCTAATTTTTCGTTTAATTGAAGCCAGTAAATGTGGAGAGCATGACTGTATAGCACATACGTAGTTTTCGTGACCTCTTAATACGTGCTAATAACTCTACGAATATATAATCCTGCACTGTAGCAAACAAAACGCTCGTGCGTGTGTGTTTGGGGTGTGAACTAGAAATAGTAAATTATCAACTACTATTTCACTACTCTGTACCTTTAAGAAGGCGGGCATCCAGAAACGTTAGGCATAGTGGATAAATCGTTGTAACTAATTTTGCTAAGATAATTGAAGTAAGCTAATAGATATTTATCTAACTAGCTTGAAAGGTTGTTAATTTTTCTTACTTGTGTATAGATGCGAACACATACCAATTGATCGTGGAAGATGTGAAAATTGACCGTAGATTCACACGACAACTAACGTATAAACTACTTATAACGTTGGATTGATTCCAATCTCTATTGAGATCCAAAGTTCTCAAACAGTTTGGGCGAATGTTATCATAAATAATCAGTATGTTGATAACGATATATTAGTATGCTGTTTCTCGACATTTGAGGAGAAAGCATAGGAATACAATTCAGGATATTTAACCCGAATGTACATACACATATTCTCCTAGTCGGTAAATATTTTACGACCTAAGGCAAAAACCCCAGGATCAAACTGTTTAAAATGTTTAGATAAATGAGACAAAACAATGACAAAAACAGTAAAGAAATGAACGAGTTGAATAAAATGATTCCTTTTCTTGAATTTGTTTAAACAAATGTGAAATACAAAACCTCTTTAATTTTCAATTGTATATATAACTTAAACGTTATAAATATATATATATTTAGTGCAAATCTTTTAACAACTTTATTATGCTTAAAAAGCAAAATCAGAAAGATTTTTTATTTAAGGATTAAATTGATAAAATTATTTATTTGTTAATTGTAACATAGTAAATTACACTTACTTTTGTATGATATAAAAGTAGAAGATATTAATTGTGAAAAGTAGCAGAAGAATCATAGCATAATATTTTTGTAAAACACAACTTTAGAAGAAAATTCCCAATTTTTGACCAGAAATGGTTGGTTGGTTTTTGGCGTTTTTTGGCGCAAAGCAACTAGGTTATCTGTGCCTAATCAGAAATGGAAAACCTACGATAATCTTTTAACATACACTGGCAGAAAGTGAGCTAAGGGTTAGAATAAAAAAAAGAAACTTAAGGGCACTCTGTGCCATTATTATTACTCTCTGACTATTAATGATGAAAGCTCAGAAAAAGAAGTTCAGACAGCGTAGAACGACCCGCTAACCGGTTGGAATACGCTTTCTACCCGTATTTCAGTACCTAAGAGTTTTGCTTTATTCTTTTGGTTTGTTTATTGAAGTGGATTTAAATATTTTAAAACCGATTAGTATTAGAGTATCAATATCTTATACATTTGAATAGATAAATTGTGAATGTATTATCATGAAGTTTTTGCATCGCTCTTTACGGAATTTGGATTAAAAAGGAATAAGATGTCTGGGATTCATGATGGCCATAGTTTGAGGTCATACTAATGTCAACAATTGTTGTCATAAATATAACAGCTTAAAATTAATACGTCTGGATGTTCTCAATTTAGATCTCAAAATAGTTACAGCTATATGTTATTCACGAGCAAGGCCTAAGTTAAAATAATGCATTCACTTTGGTTACTATGAAAAATATATATATTGAAGGTTAAGTACTTTACGTTTACATTTGTGGATATTTTATTTCTAATTTCTATACATATAACTATAAAAGGGATTAAATAAACTTACTTAACATTCTACTTAAGGAGATAATAAAAAATGCATTAATGAATCTATCTTTAGTAACCTGAAGGCATTTGGTAAATATTTGTAGATATGGTAAATACACGCATGCGTCGTGAAATATGCAGTCGCCAGCAATTAATAAAATGAAATATATATAATATTTTTATGTAACGTTTGAATTATCATGTTCACAAAGTTCTAGGTATGAAATTTGGAAAAGAAAAAAAGATAGAAATATTATATATTTGATAGTTTGTGGCATGATTTCTTAGAAGAAAAGGCCACTGTTATTTAAGAGAAACAAAAATAAAAGTACTAAGTATTTGGTAGTTTGTGGCATGATTTCTTACAATTAAGTGGTTTTGTGAGTGATCCAAATAAATTCTGACTGTCCATTTTTATGATGTGTAGAAACGTTTGCATTGAATAGAAAAATTAATGTGCACACACACACACACACATACATATATAAATAACAAAATAGACAT